CAGAGGGAGAAGCAGACTCCCTGCTGAGCAGGGAGCCCGATGTGGGACTCAGTCCCGGGACTCCAGGATCATGACCTGAGCCGAAGGCAGTTGCTTAACCAACTGAGCCACCCAGGCGCCCTATTTAAAACTTTTATATATAGCATAAAATGAGTGTTGGGCACAGCAGTTCTTTGAGAGGAGCTTGGGAGCAGTGAACATTTAAAACTGGTTTTTTGTTCTTTTATGATTTCATTGGGATTCAAGAGGATTATAAAGAAAAGAGTTGGTTCACTTACTGCCTTCTTCAGCAGTAATTCATTTGATGCACGTATTCACTGTTACTCAGAACAAAAGAAATACGGAAAGAGTTTTAATTGGCATTTAGAACATTTTTTTGTTTAAACACCTTTATGTTCCTAATTGGGTTGTCTTTAGACTTAGAAATGTTAAATCAGTTTGCCTACCCTAAGCAGATTCTTGCTAATGGGGGAAAAAGGCTTTGGGATATACCACAGTTGCTAAGTCTGCTGCTGGGGTTAAGGGAGAGTCTCCCTGCGATTTGCTAAGTGTGATCCAGACATAAATAATAGACTGCAAACAAGCAGTTGGCTCCCTCTCATTCTGGACTATGGTGCTCTGTGGTGCAGTAATCCTGCCTGAACACTGCATTGGGTATATAGGTATGATTCAGATTAGACTGAACTTAAACATTTTTATAATTTTTTTCCTTATTAAAATATATTTTTTATAGAAAATGTAAATAAGCCAAATAGAAAGTAGTGAAGTGTCATAAAAGCCACAATAAAGATGGGGCACCTGGGTGGCTTGTTTGGTTAAGTGACTTGATTTCGGCTCAGGTCATGTTCTCTGGGTGTGAGATCCAGCCCCGTGTCAGGCTCCTCATTCAGGAGGGAGTCTGCTTCTCTCTCACCCTGTCCCTCTATCCCTTGCCCTACTCGCTCGCTCTCTCTCAGATAAATCTTAAAAAATAAATAAATAAATAAAGGTAAATGTAAAAGGCTTCCAATTTAAAGATAGTAACTTTATATTTTGAGATGTCCACATTAAATCTTTTTTTTTTTTTTTTTTTTAAGATTTT